CTGATGCTGAACAAAATCCAAGTTTCGTTCTCTATTCTGAATGCAGAAAAGTTCCAGATCGATTTCAGATTGATGGAGGTCTGTCTTGCCTGATTGATTCTGGCTTTGATATCCCCATCGGTGCCGTCGTCTGCAGCTGAAACTATAATTCCTAGATATAGTGAAGACAGCATCCCTTATCATATTTCTTCCATTGATAGTGATTGGTGCTTGTTGTTGCTTGGTCGGTAGTATCTATCACCCCCATCTTTTTTATGTTCACCGGAAGTCCTGTGTTCTCTACATCGTCTGCCAGTTTGTTTGTTTTCGCCTATGAGTATTCAAGTTTGTGTGACAGTAAACATAAATAATCAGCGAAATTCAAATTTACTATGATCTTTTTATTGGTCCAGAGCATTGCTGTTTTCTAGCTACCTGCGCACGGTGTGCTGCATAATTCATCCTACCACAATTAAGAATATCATAGTGGATGATAGTAGACAACCAACCTTGGATCACTCCTTTTCTCACACACAACAAAGACAGTCTTCGTTGAGTTTCCCGTTGTGGGTCACCTTACATGTGGCATTGCCATAAAATCAGCTGCTGAACGAAGTTGATGATAATTCACCGCACTGCAATCCACACTGTTGAAGTAGTTTCAAAATAACTTTGCGGTTTCTATAGCCAAGGTTTCAACAAATGTATGAGTACATGACACAAATTCTTATATATATAAATATATACAATTTGTCTGACAGGTCCTGAGCGTGGTCGGAGGGAGGGAAGTTTGTGTGTTTGGCTACCCACCCTACTCCTGAAAATCAATCCAATCGCCACCAGAAGGAATGGGAGTACAACACAAATGTGAAAAACAAGTTTGTTGTTCTCCGGAATCAGAGGGACAGGATGACGTGGGTTGGTGGGAGGTTTTAGGAAGGCAGGCAGTGAGCGCGATGTTTGTTCTTCAGATGAAAGTGAAGTTAGGCATTGAGACGTGTAATGTCGGTACAACGTACGAGTGTAATAAAGCTGCCCAGGTTGCTGAAGAAATGAGATTTATTGATGTCAAGTTTGATGATGGATTTATATCTTTCGGAGAATCATCGAAAGGCATGGAGTACATAACTGGTGTTCTGACCTAGTTTGGACTCTTCATCAGTAGTATTCACCCCTGAATTTTTGGGCCATTGGATTCAGTTTCAGTCGTTAAATGGTCCTGACTGTATACTGCTTAAACTAGGAGGAGAAGAAACCTGTATCACTGCTCCCGATAGGTTCACAATGATACTTTGAATGGAAGCTAATCATATCCTAATGATATAAAGGGGAATTTGAAATACCCGAAGGACAGAGATATCTACTGAAAAACTCTGTGGGATTATTGACAGTACAGAAGTAAAAGTAGACTCAATCAATTTAAGGAATTGACTTTGAAACAAACTGTACCTGTTGAAAAGTACCAGTCATATAAAGTCCACCAAACGAAACAATAATATAGTTTACCTAATATTCTGCAATGATTATGAGACCAAATAAAGCGGTAAAAGCAGTAAGATAGGGTTATTCAGGATATTAGGATTATTATTATTATTTCCATAGGCCTTAGGTGGAACACAGTGACTCAGCAGCACATCTCCAGTCGTCTTCCGCTGACTTCGCAACTGTGCGTAAGACCACATAATCTTCCAAGTCACCCTTGGACTCATTCCGAACTCGTAGCTTCCAATTCGGCTTCAACTCGAGGACCTGGAGTACGATGTCTACTCAACAGTTTCCTCACTATGCATCCGATCATTCCGCATTTCCTTCAGTGTAGGTTACTGCTTGATTTGTTTGCAGAGTTCCATGTGGCTTATCAATTCCACCAAGCCAACTGACTATCTGATGTTCAATATCGAGGAAACGGGTGGCAACTGTTGATGAGAGTCTGCAGTAACCTAGCGCAGTTGTCTTTTTCTGCGGCCAGCGCCCCAATTCTGTGAATCTCACCTGGTTTACTAGGTGTCTCTAAAATCTCGGAAGTAAAGAGATGGCTGGGCCTGAGACTAGCTATCCTACCACGGAAAACCAATCCGATAGCCACAGGACTTCCAGTACGATGGAAAATAAGGAATCAAATTCGCAATTTTTTATCAATAATAAAATAACGGCTTTATTCCAAACAGTATTTTTTGCACAAATGTGGGATTTTCAGCATGTAGTAAGATATAGTACATCTAATTTTGATAATATCGTTAAATTAGGAAATATGAATATAAAGTTAAAATTCGGGTAGAAATATTAACAACAGCATAATATTGTAAAAAACGCAGGGCTATTTGCTTAGAGTTCCGCAATAAGTTGGTAATGTCCTGTCTAACGCACTTCTCTGATCACACATAAAATGAGTCCCGGACAAATAAGGTAATGTAGAGTTTTGCGCACTTAGTTGTCCGAGCGACAGAGTCTCCTGTAGTTTCTTTTGGTTCTACCCGATGAGATCCTAGTGGGGAGAGTTGCGAATAGAGAGGACGCCCACAGTTTATCCGTCAAGATAATATGTGCTAATTTCTTGGAGGAGTCCGTGTGTTCACTGTTATACAAAGGGGTATCAATACAAGTTGTTTTAACGACAACACTTCCACCCAACCTACTGACAGCTTTCAGTGCCTTTCGCAGTGTATTAAAGCATCCTTTCTTAAGTTACCGAGAAAAGATTAAGCTAGGGAAGCAGTAAAGAAGAATATGTACAATACAAGAGTTACAAAGCTGTAAAAGTAGAGACTGACTGAGTTATTTCAGATTATCTAAACACTCTTAAGCAGAATGTTCAAAGAAACAACATCTTTCTGGAAACTAACATGATGTCGGAAGATGAGAAATGGCGATCTGAGAAAATACACAGTCCAAGGTATATTTAACACTCGATTTAGTTTCAACTTCTCTGTCATCTATGATAGTGGAACCACGTCAACTAACCATTTCATGTAAGTCGTGCTTGCATGTCTGAAAGTGAAATCAGTCGGTTTTTCTATATGCTTCAGTGCCTTCGGTTGGGCTCCACAAAATAAAAAGCATTTCCAACAGCCCGCTGTGAAGACTTCTATTAACAGCTGCCCACTTTGATGTCACGACACTAAAGATCACTATGTACCTAGCTCCACCACAGCAACAGGTGAAATGACATACATGTGCACGTAGAAGTAGTCAGGTGCGAGATCTTGTTTACTCGGTCTTCTGCAGACCAGTGGACAACTAGATCACATTGGTCTTAGAGTTTCCGCGAAGAATATTCGTCTCAAAGATGCCGAAACTTTTCTCTTAAAGATATTTGGGATTAAGTCTCCCTTGAAATCAAGGTTGTTTTTGGGGACAAGTAATGCTTCGTTCCTCTGAACTTTTGGTTGGTCTGATGTTCTTGTCGGTGGATCTTGGTTAGAATCCATTATTTGGATGAAGGTCTCTTTGAGTAAATCTAATCCAGCTCCTAGGGTGTCTTGACTACAGACGCCATGTGGAAACCAAGTGACAAGGGACATAATTTCATTTCGTTTTAGTTCACAACAGGCACCCAACTGTAGAAAATTGTTAGTCCACCGCTGTTTAGGTGACCTTTCCATGGACTGATCTTCTCAAGGTTTCGTCTGGTCGTCTTTTTAAATCCACATCAAGAAAGCGGACTTTATATTTGTTAGCCATTCAATCGAGAGTGAATTTTCTCATCGGATGGCGATTGTTAAATACTTGTAACAAGTGATGACTGAGGTCATAATTGTTGTCTCAAATGATGAAAATGTCACCCTTATATCTTGTATACAGTTGTAAATTGTCAACAGTCGACTGGCTATCAAAAAAAGCCTACTGCTATTGGATCAAAAGGAAATTCTATTGCAATACCATCATCGATTTAACTGTAACTAAATTAATAATAAAGGTAATGATAGCTATAAGATATTTTCTCACGAAAATTCTAGATTACATATCTCTGTCATTAAGATGTATTCATAATTATTCTGAGAAATTATAACAAAATCGTTATTTTTTGTGTCAAAAATTAATTATTACTATTACCTTGGAGTCTAATTTACGCTCACTAAAGCCTCGTACATTTTTGTGTGTATGAATGTGCACGAGTTTGCCTGTTTGTGTTTGTGTGTGTATGCTTGTGTGTTCAGACACGTTAAAATTTTTATTGAACAAGGGAAACACGAATCAAGTTAAGTTAAATTCTACAATAACGGGTAATATTTGTATTCTTCTAAATGGACACATTGTATTTTGTCTGTGGTCCATCTGTGTAGTAAGCTCCAAAAGTGTTTGCATTCATCCTTTCACAGCTTTTGTGGAGAACACCTCGTCATCATAGTAGTAGTTCTAATCTAGCATTTTCTAAATCCTTACTTCTGCCAATTCATTACATATAAGTCGCCATAACTGGTCAAAATAATCGGCGAGTTCTTGTCCCCACAATGAGTCAAATTAAGGAATAATCATCTAGGAGTGCTAACGCACCAGTAACCTTCAAAGCCTACTATTCATTGGACAACTGGACCTAGCACTATTGTTATAACGCCACAATTAACGCTGTGTACGAAATGACAGAGCTGCTAATTTCATCCCCAATCTCGTTGTTAAGTACTGTTTGCAAGATGGGTTGATACGTCGTTAGGGTTACAGTTAGAAGTTAGAGTTGAGGTCATCGTTACGATCAGTCTTAGCATAAGGGTTAGAGTGAGGATCATTGTTAGGGTAAGGTTTTGGGTCAGATAGAGGATTAGGGTGAGGATCAGTGTTATGATCAGTGTCAGTGCATATTCTCATTGTTCGGATAGCTCAGCCCGATTGATAACAATCCCTAGTAAGGATAATAGGTATGTAAATAATACCCAAGAGACGAAAAAAATAGTTCTAATACTTGTCCCTCTGGTGATTTTCACTGCTTCTCTGACGTTATTTGTTTAATGAATTTCCCCTCCCCATCACCTAATCTGCTAATCTTTTTAAACGTTACATCTTTCTCCCCCACCATTTTCATGCAGGTTGCTTACAATTGGCCTTAACATTCTAATGATATGCTTAACATAACTATCTCAGATTTCTGAGAAATTTCACCCGCCTCCCGGTCCACGCCATCCACTACCGATTGAAATCATGACTGCTGATGAATTTGTCAATAGTGGATGCTCAAAAGTGGATGAAAAACCTCGACAAACATTTTTAAATCGTTTAAAACAAATCCGTCGTTATTTTTCAAATCCTACACTTCAACATCATCATCATCATGAGAAGTCTCGGAATCATAAACGATGCAGTGCTGAGAAACCACCAAAATCTATTCAATGTCAACAAGGTCATATTACTGAAGAATCACCTCAGAATTTGACATCCCCAAAATTACTTCATTCATCATATCTTAACAGGAATAATAAAACAAACCATTGGACGCTGAAACACTTTAAAAATCGCATCAAAACGTCGACCATCACAAGACCAACGAGAACTGAAACTCACGGAATCAACGCGGAGAAACAGAAATCGTCTACTATATCTGTTGAACCTACAAGAGATATGAATGAATTTGAAACACAATTTCATAACCCGGATTATCATGGATACTACTTTCCAATGAAAGACTCTGAAAATGTACTCATGACAGATCATGATCCTACAAGTATTACAACTCATGCATCGATAGATGACGTCTCATTACAATCCATCTCAATAGATTCTTTCAGTTTTGATGGATTCGAAGCAGACGAAGAAGGAGAAGAATTCGATGACATGAAACATCAAAATCCACAGCAACAGCAACAAAAGAAGATCACTAATTTAGATGAGCCTTCAACTACAAAAGATAATAATTATTCACCGATCATAGTTGAATCTGATTTTGTGAGTACAATTCTAAGAGAGACAGGATTATATCATAAAGAGAGTGCAAATATTGAACTACAACAAAAACAACAACAAGAAGAACATAAACATCAACCCTTATTGAAGCATTTAACACATTCAACAAATAATCAATTATCAATGTCTGATATTTATTCAATTTTCGCTAGTCATGATCACCTGGAAACCACTGTAACTCACAATAATCAAAATCAAAAATCAAACCTTAAGACAACAAATTATCAGAGTAAATATTCAATGTTCAACTCACTGAAACGCTTTTCAATGACACTGAACACATCAGCATTGAATAATGGTAGTAGCAGTACTAATAATAATGACAGTAAAGCGAAGAATTCCAGTTTCACTTCGACATCTTTGTCAAAAAGTAATCTTCGCGAGTTGGGTTTACGATTGAAACGATATTTTCACGGAGCTGGAAAATCGAAAACACTACCTACTGTGGAGGTGTACAAGGGACCCAGTGAAAGTAAGTACTGTTTGTAATTGTGACATATATATATATATTATAAATTATATATATATTATTATTATGTATTACTTATTGCATGATATTTTCTCTCCGTCCACGACCTTTAAATTAAGAAGATTTCATTGACAGTAGATCGTGTGACACACTTCTATCTCACCTGAAGTTCTTTGTCTCTTTCGAAAAAAAATACACGACGATATTTGGTTGAATGCCAACTGTAGAAATTCCAGGAGTACATTTTGTGAACGCAGGACATCAATGAGGAACAGTTATCTCATGTAGTGGCATAAGCTGCCATCCGTTGAGGATAATGTTTCTTCTCATGTTTAGCAGAAACTTGCGACTTAGAAAGTTGTAGACGTTTTAAATACTTAGCAGTGTGTAAACAGTTAGTGCTATAACACTTTATATTTTACCAGATTGAAACAAACTGAATCAGAGAAGTTATATGCAATAAACTGATGTAGGTTTGTCTCGGAAACATAGTGCTAATCACCGTTCTCCTCACCATCTCACCACACAATCTACTGAATGTCAACCTCAGGCACGCACGCCCAACTTGTAGTTTCCCATTCTGGTTGAACTCGAGCTTTATCGCCTAGCGTGTGGAATGTTAGCAGTCAACGTTCAATCTGACTGTGACTCCCATCCATCGTTCTCCAAGTTCTTTGAATAATTCTTGATGAGCAATAGAGTTATTGATTGTTTCATTCCCTGACAGAGTTTCTTGATGCTAATTCCTAGTGCCCAGAGTTGATAGAAGGGTATAGCAGCCGTTTTGGAAATGTCAGTGTAGAAGTTGGGCACTGTTGTAGAACGTAATTCTATGTTAGATAAGTTTATTTCAAATATCACACACAGTGATGATGCAGCATTAACAACTGGACGATAAAGTTTCCAGCATAAATTTTTACCACTCATAATCATATCAATTTTGTCACACGGCTTCACAGTTTGTCCTAGAAATATTGTTTTCTCTACCTCAGCCTCTAGTTATTTGTTGCCGTTTTCCAAATCTCCGGTATAACCACCGCGTCATTCCGACTGCACATTTCAGGTATGCTGACTCGATAAACAAACAGTCAGTGATTAACTTCTCTCTCTTTCTCATTCTCCACCTAACTACATTATTTTCTAATACTCGCACCCTGTCCCACTAACCCAACCTATTTTGTGATTACATGTACGTGAATGCAATGAAATGTAACAAAATGTCTGAACTCTGTCTTTTCTGGGTTAATTAACTTAACACAGTCAGTTGTTCTACGTCTGGCTGAATTGCTGTGTTCTGATCATCTCTTGGACCCCAACTTACTAGTTTAATTGGCATATGTAATTGACCCCAGAGTCATCATTACATTGAATGTGGTAAATTGAGTGTAACTTTTCCTAATTGGATCTATGGGGTCCTTCAGCCGAGAAAGTTTATCTCTGAGATAGTTCGTTGGTTGGTTTAAATGCCATCCTGACTAATTCCAACCTCATTGAGACTGCTGCATAATAGGGTTTCTTACGTTACTTCTTTATACTGCAGCACTACTACAGAGGCTTCAAACTCTATATTACTTTCGTCGTTATTTTTGCCATTTTCATTACTAATCTTATTTTTTCCCTATGCCAATTCATACATACTGGAGTAAATCCTGGTGTGAAGTTAGTTATTCAATTGTAATATTTTCTTCATTAGTTTGATTTCATTATTTAAATCTTCTGCCTTATTAGTCAGGTTCTTGGCCCAGTTAAATGGATATTTAACTAAGCCTATCTTCCCTCACAGATTCTACATGGGATGAGTTAAAGTCTAGTCCAAGTATTTATTATAATGTGTTGGTTTTCTATCTATGAACGTTTTGGAAATGCTCATCTTGATGGGTGTGCCACGTTTCCAACCCATACAGAAGAACTGACTGACCTAAAATTGTTGTTGAACAGAATCCTAAGTCCTTTGTTTAATTTAATGATTGATTTCAGAGTGCTGAAGGCGTAACTCTCGTTTTGCATTCTGGCTTTCACATATTTATCCGTTCCACTGACTGTAGCTGGAATAATAATCCCTAGATAAGTGAAGAAAGTCACCTTTTTCAAATTTCCTACGTTGATAGTGACTGGTGCTTGTTGTCGTTGGTTGGTCGGTTATCTTCATCACCTCTACTTTTTATTCATTCATCTGAAGTCCTTTCTTCTATGCCTGTTACTTCGCTAGTAGATATTCGAGCTTATGTGACGCTGTACCGTGTGTTACATAATTCAGTCCGTCAAAATTAGGCATATAATCGTGGGTGGTAAGGGGCAACAGCTTTGTATCCCTGATGTCTCCACCTCACTGAGTCTTCCATCGTGGATCACTTGACATGCAGCATTGTAATACAGCTGTAGTTGAAAGAGGTTTCATAAAGATTTCGTAAAATTCATTATGTTGTAGCAAACTTCAAATTACTTCAAAGTCAGTGGACTTAGAGATCATAGAGATCTGACTGCCATTCTATGAGCCCTCTGTTCGATGATGGCAATGATGTGTCCAGTTGCAATATGATCCACAAGCGTGGTTTGTCCCGCCTAAATCCAACCAGATTGTTCCGGACTGGAGAAATTCTGCATTTAGTGCACCTTTTATTCTCTGTATTATGTAATTTATTTCTGATAAAACTACAGTTTTGATGGCATATAATTTTGAAAACATTCCACTTTGGGCCATTCGATTGGGTCCCAGCGGCTTAGTAGTCTACAAGCTCGTCGCCTTGTAACCGGGAGGTCCTACAATCAAGCCCCTGTGGTGGATGCTCACTGTTGGAGAGTCCCGAAGCAGACTGACGAAACAGCTATCCAGTACTCCCAACTGTTGGTTTATCATGTTTCTGAAACCGCAATATAAATCCGTGGCCATACGTGAAACAAATCCATATATATATATATCATTCAACTAACTGTGGATACTGATTTAAAGCTTGTACGTGTGTATATGAGTATGTTTTGTGCCGAGCATATGAAATGCCTCTTCACTCTTCCCTCTTACATTCAACCCGACTCAACTTCAATTGTTTTCACATCTCAGAAACATGTAAGAATACAGACAGACAGGAAGAAGAAACTCACCACAATTGAAACTTCCAATCCTTATGTATAAAAGCCTTCTTTGTGAGTTTGGCGTTCAGTCATTAACAGTCATTTATCTAAATGCATTAAACATGCTTTTTATGCAGCTGACTTACATCTAGTATATACCAGTCAAAATATGATTGAGCAATGCGTCAAAGATAAACTACCGCTTATGTTCACCTTTGTTATGTGCATATACTCATTTACATACGCTCATATGAAGTTAATTACATTGCACGTTGTAAGCGTGTTCTCCGTAAACGTGTAACTGAACACGTTTGGTTATTAAAAGAGAAGCATAAGACGACGAAGTCTTCATTGTGTGAACATCTTCTGAAGTCAGGTCATTCAAATCCCTTCCCCCACATGTGAATTATCCTTTAGAGTTATCTGCAGGACTAAACCCAACCACTTGAAAAGCTTACGTTTTCTTCACTTAAACATAGGCGAAGCTGTAGAGCTATACATGGACAGAGACCTAAATAATGTGTTAAATAGGCTTTGTTAAACCCCTTTTCTTTACTTTGGTTATAGTAATGTTTCTTTCTTATTTTATTCTATTGAACCACTTGAATTCATTCCACACTTCAATTCATCTTCGCCGTCTTTAGTGTTATCATCATCGTACTCTTAATTTTGCAGATAACACTTGACCTACTAATTCTTAAAATCTCCATGCCAGTTCACTTATTGAATAATGTTCAAAAGTTTTGTAATTTACCCACTTCAGTTCTACCCGCTTAGTACATCATTTTTATCATCCCAATTATTATCATATGTGTAACATTGAATTGTGCGTCGGTGGCATAACGGTTAGGACGCTCACCGACCATGCACATGGCCCGCGGTTCGACCCCTGGCCGACGCACTCCTTTACCTCACTAAGCCAGAAATAATGCTGGTAAAGAGGAAAGGTTGGGCATGAGGCTAGCAACCCCATACTGTAAAATAAACACTGCTACAGAAACTTCAAGTCACTAACTTGAAGCCCTATATACCACTGGGGAACGTGAAGGAAAGAAAAAAATATATTGACTGAGCAATAAATACATCCTGCTTTCGTAATATCAATACGACTGTACAGCTGGTTGAAAATGAGGTCCCTGGAAAGAAATAGTATTTCTTAATTGATTAAAACGTAGATTTTTCACTAGAATTGATGACTGATTGTTGGTTGGATGAGTCACAGGTGAGAAAACGGTTCACTCAACACTCATAGACACATACACGCACAAACAAGGAGACGAAAACTTCCATGTAGACAGATATTTATGTGTGTGTGGGAATGTATAAATCTGCAGTGTTATTCATGTTCTTCTCTCGCACTTTTACTTCGAAAAAGAAGACAAATAGAAACAAAGATGCAGATAGGCATAGTGAAAGAGTGGGTTGATGTGCAGTGCAGTGAAACAGGAACTTGCTGAAACTGAGATCGTCAATGAATACTGGATGTTTGGTGTGACCACCTCTAATTCAGTGTTTGTCAACCTCGTCTTATTTCAGTCAGTAGTGATGTTCAATTATGAGAAATCTCAAATTAAACATAAGGAGCTGGAGAGTTCATGATGCAGATAACTGACCGACCAAAAACAACAACAAACATCAGTTACCAATGAGTGGAGAGATATGTAAAGGAAGTCAATTCATTCACTGATTTACCTCGACGGCATCGTTTCGACTACATGTTACAGTATGGATGAAGATGTCAAAGCTGAGCTGGATTACAAAATCAAAATAGACACCTTCATTAATCGTCCAGAATCAGTATTTAAACGTACTACACTCAATCAGTATAAAGCACGAAATTCAGATTTGCAACACTGCCAATATCAAATCATTCATTGCCTCACATTGAGGAATTCGTTGAGTGAGATCTGTTATGACCGTTAGTACAATTGGTA